AGAAATCGACTACCATGTTACTCGAGAGAAAATTCATTTTGGACTCATCCATCTTCTCCCTGTTTCTTCTACCGAGCAGTTGGCCGACGTCATCACAAAACCTCTTCCTTCTAAAACCTTCATTTTTGCAATTCTAAAGTTGGGCCTATTTGATCTCCACAGTCCAACTTGGGGAGATGGGGGGTTAATATCCGAGAACAATTTCTCAGCTTCAAATGATGCAACCAAAGTCCAACAACAATCAGATAAAGATCAAGCCCATAACAGAGCCCAAGTCCAGAAGTCTTCAAATGAAGCAAAACCACTATGCAACTCATATATACAACCAACCAATCTCAACAAATTAGTTGCCATGTCAGATATCTGACTTATTTTGTTGAGATAATTTGTTAGAAGATTATGTTATTTGGTTAAGTTGTTAGCTTTGTTAATTTTCTGCCTTGCAAAGACTGACATAGGGGGCTAGGGAGGGTCTTCGCCCCCCATAAAATTTGAAGAAAAAAAAAACAGTTGGAAGTACTTATTTTGAGTATACATGGGCATAAACAATGATGATTGGTTTGAAGACTTTTTGTGTGCTTTGGCTATTTTTAATAAACAATTATTTAAATAGTGATCATCAAACTAACGAGCTATGAAGCTGACAAGAAATATTCACCATCTAATGGTTCTGCACCTCCAAGTCCCTCAATGCTCTGGTCTTAAACTCTTCTGCAAAATTTTCCACACTTCTCTGCACAACACTCTCACTAACACCCGTCATCGTCTCCCATAATATCTCCTCTGCATACCTTGGATGATAACACTCCCCACTAGTAAACACAGCCTTTTGGAACACATTAGTACCATTTGGAAGATTCACCGAGAACTTCACCAAACTATCTTCTCCCCCACAACACCAATCCTTGCTCTTCCAGCCATCACGCCCCACTTGGAAAAAGAGGTTGAATCTCTTATTCTAGCTCCTGACTCAGCCTTGGCCAAACCGAACCTATCGTCAAGTCTAGAAAACATGATATCTCACGTCTCAAGGTTGTTGCTGGAAACCCCAATTGGGTAAGAAAGACTTGAAACTTGGGGTGTTTAAGGGTGGAGAGAGGCACAAACCCACATGACTCAAAGAACCAATTTGCTAGCAGTTCAACAATATAGTCAACTTGTTCCTTATTCAAAGCAGTTGATGAAGAATTCTTGGGACTCTTAAGCTTCTTCATGTTGTATTCAAAAACAGCCAAAGCACACAAATTATAATGTCTTTATATATGCTTAAAAGATTATTGGTTTGAGGCTTTTGATGATTTTTGTATTTATGGACATGCGCCACAGACTTGTTATAATATTCCACATATAATGAATTAATAAGGCTGCTAATAAAATGCCCATATGGCACAGAAATAGAGTCCAAATATCTCTTCTAAGGCATGAAAATTTTCATGCGATCCCATGGCATATAATTTGACATGTCATTCTTGGAACTAGACAAAGCATAAAAAATGATTTGAGAAAATATTTTTTTAATAACATAAATGCCATTACTAATGAGTGAGGTAAACAACTAAATTAAAATAAATAATAAATAAATAAAGAATTATTGATTAGAAGAGATCAATGTACAATAAATTTAATATTTAATTTTATTGTAGAAATTATTATTTTTTATTTTCACCCCTACATAAACAAATCTCGCCACACATGTTAGTGCTTATATATGTATATCATCTTTGTAATGTATTAGTTCAGTTCTCCGATAAGGAAAATCATTTTCTCTCTAGAGTGAAAAATAATTAAGTGATTCAGACCCATTTTATTATTTGGTGGCCTTCTCACATGAGTAAATTTTTTCTTCCATTTTTGCCCCCCTGTTTTGTGAGAAGGAGCACCCCAAATTTTATGGGTCAAGAGCACTACATTTCTTCTCCTCTAGAGTATTGCACTTTCTCTCGCTTTCTTTTTCTTTTTTTTTGAAATATTTCAATCGGTTCATCGCTTCGTAACTAATCTAATTCGGGGCGGGTTCAGGATTAAGGCTTTAAACTCCTCCCAATGATGATACTGGAGAATTCGAACACATACTCTCACCCCACCTGCTCAGCTCTCATGCACCAATTAAGCTACCATCATTTGGTGTTTCTCTAGCTTTCTTGATTTAAGTCAAGAAAAACCAAAAGAGATCAGCACACAAATCTATGACATCATCAACAAATCTTAGTATTCTCCTTCAGAAGTTGATAGTGTACAAATCACCAGTAATTTTTTTTTCCGCTTGCACACACTTGTATAAGCGTTAATTTCGCAAAGAACAAATCATGCTTGGCATGGCATTTTCAACAATTTCCTCACAGCAGGGAAGAAAATGAACTTTCACTATTATTTTCTTTTACTCGATATGAGCAAAGAAACTCCTTATAATGGCCAAGGCCCAAGTAGTCCTCAAGTGGGCTGTTGATGGAAAACTATTTCTAGATGTTCAAAATCAGAAAAATTGGCTTCTTGTTCAAACATGAGACAAGTAGACAACGGCCACTACTGTTTCAATTACGTTTCATTAATAACAATTGACAAAAGATTAATTTACGGAAAATGCTATTCTCATTTTATAATAAAATAGTTCTCTCATATTATAAAGAGAAGTCATGTGGAGCTCATCATTAAAGGAAAAAAAAAGTGAGATTTTCGAGATGAGATAATATAAGATAATTAAAATAAGAGTAATATTTTTCTTAATTTATTGTGGAATTCTCACTTTCAAGGATCAATTTATATAAACGTGTACTTTTAGGAATTAAAGCAATACAAGTTGCAACTTTCAGGATTAAACAGTATATACACTCAACATAGTCATTTATTAATGCAAATTCACTTGTTTTGATGGTTAGCTAATAATTTAATCTTAAGTTATTGGGAAATTCGTTTACATATTATGATAAGTGATTTGTGTGTGGGGGCGCTTCCTTAGAGTGTCTTTGACGAAAAATAATTTCTTGCTGCCCCTTCTCTCTCCCCCTTCTTCCTCTCTCCTCTCTTTCAGTGGCGGTGCATTGCACCAGGACCACTACATATTGGCTCGTCTTTGACATAGTTTCAAATATTTGATATGTGTTCGATTTTTTTATAGTTAATGTAGATAACTTATCTGCATTGAGCTCAAAACGACGTTGTTTTGAGGCGAAAATCAAGATATTTTTATAATTATAATTTATTTCAGAGTTATACTAGTCTTTTTCATTATAATTTTTTAATTTTTCAACCCAAAAAACGACGTCGTTTTGAGAGCAAATGTAAATAACTTATCTACATTCACTGCAGAAATATTAAAGTCATTTGATATTGTTAAAAATTGTTAATTATTTAGTTTAAGGTTCGTTTTTTCTGCAGTCAATGTAGATAAGTTATCTATATTAAGCCCAAATCAACATCATTTTAGGGCGAAAATCAAGGTATTTTTGTAATTATAATTTAATTAAAGATTATAACAGTATTTCTTATTATAATTTTTTAATTTTTCAACTCAAAATAATGTCATTTGAAAGTGAATGTAGATAACTTAATTTACGTTCGCTGTAGAAATATTAAAATCTTAGTTTAAATATACTTTTTAGTGGTTTTACTTGCAAAACAAAACATCTTGTGATAAAGACTAATCTGGTATTAAAATGAGGATTAGTAAAGGATGCGGAAATAAAACCTTCCACTTGCCCTAAACTTTGCTTCCTTTGTCTATCATTTAACGTGTTTGCACAATGGGATTGCATTTTCTTATATGGCAGATGATATATATTTTTTCTTACTGAGACATATAAACAGGTCTCACAAGTTTTTTTTTTTTTCTCGAAAAAAACAAAGTGTAAGGTTCGATGAGTGTACAAGAAAAAAGAAATTTTTTATGTAACAACAGACAATCATTTCCCTTGCACATACCTAAAAACTTATTAACTATAATGGTTATAAGAAAAAATAATTGTATTTAATGGAATTAATTATGATTAAAATACTACTGTCATATGAATATTTCTCATTTATTAGTACCAAAAGGTAAGGTAAAAAAATTGACACTTCGTTGAATTTTTAAAACAATAGAGAAATGAAGCAAAAAAATATTTTATAAAACAACAAATAAAAAAATTGAATGAGTAGTTTAAAAGAATAGCTTTCTTTTTATAATTTTTTTTATGGGAATTATAATATGTTTGGTAGGAGTGAGTGAAGTTGATTATAAAATCAGTCACTATTTTTCTCAAACATACTTTTTTTAAAAAAATTATCCGCCTTTTGAACATTTTACTTAATACTTCCAATCTCGTTGCACTATTTTGCTTCCATAAGCATTTTATCGAATTCATCCATAAACTTTGAGTATTTATAATATTAAAAATATTATTTGACAAGTAATATTATTTGACATAAAAAATTTAAAAAATACAATATTAAAATGGAAAAAAAGTAACTGAAATCAACAAAATTCTTTTACCTTTTCCTGAGTTATTTTATGAACAAAATTATATGTCATTCAGTATTTTTTTTTCCTTATTTCGTACACTTTTTAATAATTTATTAAAAAAAGTTTATTTTAAAAATGATACTTTGTATAATATAAATAAAATATATTATCTTGAAATCACTTTTTAATTCACGTATCTAAAAATTACACTGTATTTAGTATAATCAAATAATTAATTTAGAAAAACACAATTACATATAATAAATTTTCTTATAATTAATCTAATTTGTGGTCTTTTTAAGGAAAAAAGAAAAGAAAAGAAAAGAAAACTTTCTGTTTAATGGATGGAAAAAAACATGTCTTCAACTACTAATGTGCCCAAAAGAAAAGTCCCATTCTTTCCAATCGTCATTAGTCAAAAGACTCAAAACAAAATACAAAAAAAAAAAAAAAAAAAAACAGCACACAATTTGTCCGAAATATTACTATAACGCCATTTTCATATTTCCTTTTTATTTTAATCCCTAAATTGCCTCCGCGTGCAGCGGCTCCACCGTCAGCGATGCTCTCCTCCAAGCCTCGCCGGAAAGTTGTTCCGGCGGATGACGAAGACTCCTCGGATAAACTGGACCAGCTCCTCCTCTCCTCCGCCATCAGCAACAACGAGGACTTAGGCCCCTTCATCCGTAAGGCCTTCGCTTCCGGCAAGCCGGAGAGCCTTCACCACCACCTCCGGAACTTCGCTCGCTCCAAAGAATCGGAGATTGAAGAGGTCTGCAAGGCGCACTACCAGGAATTCATCCTCGCCGTGGACGACCTCCGATCCCTCCTCTCCGACGTCGACGACCTGAAGTCATCTCTCTCCGACTCCAACTCCAAGCTTCAGTCCGTCTCTCGCCCTCTGCTCTCATCCCTCGACGCCTTCGTGGAAGCGCGAAACGTTTCGGAGAACGCGAACCTCGCAATGGAATCGATCCGAAACTGCATTCGGTTGGTGGAGGTTTGCACCAGAGCCAACCGCCACCTGTCCGTTGACAACTTATACATGGCGTTGAAGTGTGTGGACGCGATCGAGAGTGAGTATCTGGACAAAACGACGTCGTCGACGCTGAAGAGAATGGTGGAGAAGAAGACACCGGAGATTCGGGCGCACATAGAGAGGAAGGTGAACAAGGAGTTCGGTGACTGGTTAGTTGAGATCCGAGTTGTGAGTCGCAATCTGGGTCAACTCGCCATCGCTCAGGCCTCGTTGGCGAGGCAGAGAGAGGAGGATCTCAGAATCAAGCAGCGGCAAGCAGAGGAACAAAGCCGGCTTAGTGTGAGGGACTGCGTTTATACGTTGCAGGAAGAGGAAGAAGAAGAGGAAGATGTGGACGCCGGCGGTAGCGGGATTGGAGAGGATGGTAATGGCGGCGGTGGAGGATTTGATTTGACTCCGTTGTATAGGGCTTACCATATACACCAGACGTTAGGGTTTGAGGATCGGTTTAAGCGGTATTATTTCGAGAACCGGAAGCTTCAATTGACATCGGATTTTCAGGTATCTTCGATGACGCCTTTTCTTGAGTCCCATCAAACTTTCTTTGCACAGATTGCGGGTTTCTTTATAGTGGAGGATCGTGTTTTGAGGACTGGTGGCGGTTTGATATCGAAAATGGAAGTTGAGAGTTTGTGGGAAACTGCAGTTAGCAAAATGTGTTCTGTGCTTGAGGATCAGTTCTCCAGGATGCAAACTGCTAATCATCTCTTGCTTATTAAGGACTATGTGAGTCTATTGGGAGTCAACCTGCGAAGATATGGGTACCCCATTGATGCCTTGCTTCATGTTTTGATCAAGCATAGGGATAAATACCATGAACTGCTGTTGTCGGATTGTAGGAAGCAGATTGCTGAGGCACTCGCTGCTGATAAGTTTGAGCAGATGTTGATGAAGAAAGAGTATGAGTATTCCATGAATGTGCTTTCTTTTCAAATACAAGCCTCGGATATCATACCGGCTTTTCCTTATGTAGCACCATTTTCATCAACTGTGCCAGATTGTTGCCGCATTGTGCGGTCTTTCGTTGAGGATTCTGTGAGCTTCATGTCATATGGGGGGCATCTAGAGTTCTATGAAGTTGTTAAGAAATATTTAGACAGGCTTTTGAGCGAGGTTCTGGATGGGGCTTTGTTGAAGCTTATTAGTACTTCAGTTCACGGTGTCTTCCAGGCAATGCAAGTAGCAGCAAATATGGCTGTATTGGAGCGTGCATGTGATTTTTTCTTTAGACATGCCGCACAGCTTTCTGGGGTTCCCTTGAGAATGGTGGAGAGAAGCAGGAGGCAGTTCCCTCTGAGCAAAGCTCGTGATGCTGCAGAAGAGATGCTCTGTGGATTACTTAAGGCCAAGATTGATGGATTCATGACCTTGATTGAAAATGTAAACTGGATGGCCGATGACCCACCTCAGATTGGAAATGAATATGTAAATGAGGTGAAACTTTATTTGGAAACTTTGGTTTCAACTGCTCAACAAATATTGCCAGCGCCTGTCCTTAAAAGAGTTCTAAAGGATGTTCTTTCTCACATATCAGAGAAGATAGTTGGGGCTTTACTAAGTGATTCTGTTAAGAGGTTCAATGTGAATGCCATTACTGGAATCGATGTGGATATTCGGCTCTTAGAATCATTTGCTGATAATCAGGGTCCCCTTTTTTCTGATGGGGATATTGATCAGTTGAAAACAGCATTTGCTGAGTCAAGGCAGCTAATTAATTTGCTATTAAGCAATCATCCAGAGAACTTCCTGAATCCGGTGATCAGGGAGAGGAGTTACAATACTTTGGACTACCGGAAAGTAGTGGCTATTTTAGAAAAGTTGCGGGATCCTTCAGATCGGCTATTTGGTACTTTTGGTAGTCGTGGAGCCAGGCAGAATCCAAAAAAGAAATCACTGGATACATTGATAAAAAGACTGAGGGATGTTAGCTGATCGAGCTTAAAGCTGTATGTAAGATAATTTTATTTTATTGTTTTCTTTTTAGTTTTGTTGATAAAATTATTTGGTTAAGTTCAGTCTATCACTTCATTCCAGTTGTATTTTAAGATTTTCCATTGTTTGAAATGTATGATTTTTTATTCTTTATCTGGGCTTGATGTAGATACTTTGATGTTATTGGATTTGTTGTGAATTCTTATTTTCGCTTCATTAGTAAGATTTTTTAAGGTCAATAGAGTCTGAATTCCCTCATTGTCATTCCCAACACCAAAATATAAATTCTGAAAGAAAAGAATGAAAATATAAACATTTTTTTGCAGTTTCATTTTTATTTATAGCTTACACATAAATTAATCAGAAGACTAAAGATGCCTTCATTGTCTTACTAGACTATATATTCATACAATGATGAGGAGGTTTAATACTCGGGTATCTTTTATGTAGCATGGGAAAACTGAAGAGCAACTTGAGTGTTCAGGGTAAGAGAGTGGTCATCATTGAAGAGCAACTGACATTGCAGTTGTAGTTTTTGTATTGGACTAAAAAGAACTACTGGTTCTAGCCCCCCCCCATCCCGGAAAAAATAAAAAAGAGAATTACTGAATGTCCATAATTCTTAGTTTGTGCTCTGGAGTTGGCCTTATGAGGCTGAGTCCGGGCAATGAGTAAATTACTATGGAAGTAACATAACCAAATGGCTGAACTCAATTGGTAGCAAGTGGAAAGAAAAAAGTCTCAGTTCATTCTCATATGTCACCTTTGGGATGAGAGGGGTTTAAATATTTTAATTTCTGATCTGTTCCGCACTTCGGATTAATCTCGTAGCCGGTTCAAAACTTGTGGAGATACGGATGGAGCCAACTCTCCTCAAAAGTAATTAAGGTTGAGTTAACTCCAAAAAAGAAAGAAAGAATGCAAGTAACAGAAAATACAATTTGCTACTACCTCACTCTCCATTGTCAGTGAAGGAGTCACCATCTTCTTAACAACAGGTTACAGGCATATGTCTGAATGGGTATTGTATTGCTTTCCTCAATCATTATCGGACTTTCCCCTTCCCCTCCTCATTTCTCCCCACGCACCTGCGATATTGTAATAAGTAGAAACTTTGAAGAGATAATAATAATAATAATAATAAAAAGGGTTCACTTTTTTCTTCACTCACTTTTTCTTCAGTTATCTACCGTAAGCCTAATATGATGTCATTTTGGGGCGGAAATCACGGTGTTTTTATAATTTTAATTTATTTCAGGATTATAATAGTCTTTATATTTATAATTTTTTAAGATTCCAATACCAAAACGACGTCGTTTTGGAAAAATGCGGAAACATTTTTCCGTAATAAAAAAGAGATACCTAACTTAATAATCTTGTATCTGTCACAAATCTTCAATAAAGAAAGTTTTTGAAAGAAAAATAACTTCTCAAATTTTTGTAAGTGGCCAAAAGTGTTGACCATAAATAAAAATATTTGAATGGGCATATTGAAAAAGTTTGTAAATAAATAGCAATGATATTTTTTAAATCTATTTAGGTTTCTCACTCGTACCATAGATCCAATACATGATGGGTTCCATAATATGTTAAAAAAATAAAAAAAATTACAAGGTATGTTTATTGATGTATTTATAACATAAGGTAACTATTTCCTGCATACATGAGAGAATTTCCCTTCTTTTAGTTACATTTCTTCATCTCTTGATAAAGATCCAGGGTAATTTCTTCATTTCTATTTATAAATTTCTGTTTTTAACATAAAGTATGCATGCTTGTATGTAAGTTTATTATTACTTCAATACATATAATTTAAGATGACTAATTCTTAATATTAAATATTTTGAATGTGAGAACGGGGTTTCTGAAAATGGTGGCCTACCTCAAATGAAAAATGGGGGAGGCCGAGAACCTCTCGTGGAAGAGCCAAATCCACGTTCACACAAATTTCATATCTCACGTGTCACGTGTCACGTGCTACACGAGTTCCTCGCATTCTTATAATATTAACTCCCTCTTAGATGCCATGCCACCCTGCTGCCTACCCCCCAAAAAATATAATAATATTAATTAATTTTGGTAGATCAGTACCTAAAAATTAAACATTGGAAGAAAAACAAATCAGCGATAGAAGCTGGAGCAACAACTGGGGAAGTGAAGCAAAGCATTCTTATAATATGATTCAACTTTTAAATAATAATATATGAAATAATTCAATCTTGTAAAAAAAATAAAACATTTCAAAGGGTAGGGTGGTCTTTTAGAACTATCATAAATTACTTAAAATTTTTAATAAGAATAATCGTATAATTTTTTTTTTTATTTTACATTAAACCGCTCTCTCTCTCTTTTTTTTTTTCTTTAACTTTTCTTGCCGAACCTTTGCCTAATAATCATCGACTATTTATATACCACATCAATCATAAAACAACCAAACAGGAACAAATCGAAAATTCTGGGGAAGTACCAATTTTCGAACTTGTCTTCATGTCTTCAATTAGACTTCTGTTTATCCTGGTAGTGTCTATGACATTAGGATGCGCGTTAAGCCAACCGAATAAGTTGTCAGCGTACGAGGTTCTTGTTGAGTATGGGTTCCCAGTGGGTCTTCTTCCCAAAGGTGCCATAGGCTATGCGCTAAATAGAGAAACAGGTGAGTTCGCTGTGTATTTTGATGGAAGATGCAGCTTCAGCATAGAGTCCTACGAGCTCGAGTACAAGGCAACCATCACGGGAGTGATCTCCAATCGCAGGCTCTACAAGCTGAAGGGGGTCAAAGTCAAGGTTTTGCTCTTGTGGCTCAACATCGTCGAGGTTGTTCGTACTAATAATGATATCCAATTCTCTGTGGGTATTGCTTCCGCTAACTTTGGGTTGGAGAACTTCTTCGAGTGCCCCCAGTGTGGATGTGGATTCGATTGCAACAAACTCCCCGAAAACGGTGATGTTTCTTCAATTTAAGCTTGTTATATGATTCTATTCGGAACAATTGTTGGTCTCTCTGTTGGAGAGTTTAGATCTATCTATCTTTTGTGCTTTTTTTTAATTAATTAGTCTAGTTTTATCAGGGTATTGTTTTCCCCTCACATGAATCAAGACTTTTTGGTGCTTTGTTGTACCATTTGCCTGAGAATCCAAACAAATGTCACCGTAAACTGGCATCATTCTACTGTCTTGCCCTTATCAATCATCCCGTTGGGTATATCGTGGTTTTTTAATTTTTTATTTTAATTTTGTCTTTTTGGTTCAAAAAGTAAGTAATAATACCATAATATTAATATTTGCTATTATTACTGAACGTCTTAAACACATAAAAAGCAAGAATAATGTTAAAAAAAACAAAGAAACAATGATTTGTGTCATAAATTTTTTACAGTTTATAAGAGAAATGTCAGATGTAGGGTGTGTAATTTTGTATTATTTGGGTTGTTCTTAGTTTTTCAATTACCCGACACATAGCTTATCCTCTGCTATAAATTCTATCCCACTTTTTTCTGACATTTCTAAGACAGATCAATGTGTTTGGTGCTTAGCATATAATCAACAATAGTTCGATCATCAAGCACCAGTTTAAAGTGCAATTGTCAATCTATATCAGAGAATTGAGTCGTGTAAGGATCTAAATTTGAATTGACTAGGCACACCTTAGTTGAGATTTATGAGAGAACGGATGAACACACCTGCAAACCTTCTTGCGTAGCCTTTGATTAACCAAAACCGAAGGTTTGCAACTAGTCAATTGTGCTCTTTGCAGTGTCCCCTTGAATACACTCCACTAGTTTGGTTGGAATCTGCGGTCTGGATAATACCACTAATTTTGGTCTCTCACACATCATCATCAGCTTCAACTTACAAAGAAAAAATGGGTATAAACTCTCAAGCAAAACTCATTTTTCCAGTACAAATTTCACGCACCATCGTCTTCTCGTCTATCTTCAGCCTCTGCTAATAACCCCACAACCTTAACTGTATATTATTTCCTTCAACAATTTCTTCCCGAAGAGGCCTTCGGGTACCTGGATGTTAATTGAACTTTCACTATCCAATCTTACGAGTTGAGGTACAATCCTACTGTAACGGGTCTAGTTTAGTTTCTATGTGGTGCTATTTTCTTATTAGCGAGGTGTCTCTAATCGGTGGGAGATGCTTAGAGCTGTAACGGGAAAGAAGATTGTTATGATTATGATTTGTTGGATGTGATGTCTCTTGAACAACATAACACGATATATGCTGGATATTTGTTGTTATTTTTGCAGTAAAGTAAGTTTGATAAAGAATGTAAACGTTTGATAAAGAATGTAAAAGTAAGTTTTTAGATTCCCATCGGTGCAATTTGACTTTTCCAGATATACATGTTATCATAATATATTATCAATCTGTTTTTTTTTGTTTTTCATTATATTTGTGATGTCCCTAAGTTTTAATTGTCAGGATATAATCAAACCTACTTTAGGTTATATAATTTATAATACTATGCAATTTTTCAAGCCCTGGCCGGCAAAATAAACAATGGATACAAAACTTAAAAAAGTAAAAAATAATAAAGATAATAAAAACGAGTGCCCTGGATCATTGCTATGGGCCCAAATATGAAGGGCTCAAGCCCTTTGATATCCAATTCATGGATAAACAACTTCTACTTTCAATGGAGAAGTTTTTTTGTTGCAGCAATCACATAGCAAAGCATTGAAATGTGTGATTTGTTTTTTGTTTTGTCTTTTTTCAAAACAATCAATGGGTCCCACCAAAAAACTCTCTCAGCTGCAAAAAAAGAAGTTCTTCTGTCAAATGAGAAGTTGTTTCCCCCCAATTCATATGCCTTTACTATCCTTCTACAAATAGTTATAAGAGTTACGGTAGATAAGCTATCTGCATTTACTTCCACAACGATATTGTTTTGGTGTTGAAATATTAAAAATTTATAATTATAAAGATTATTATAACTCTGAAATAAATTAAAATTACAAAAATACTTTGATTTTCCTCCAAAATGACGTCATTTTGAGCTCAATGCATATTATTTATCTGCATTAACTGCTGAAAAAACGAACATATAAATTAATGATAATTTTTTTAACAAAAATAAATATTTATTTTGAAACTTTCTATCTACTAAGAGTTATTCGCGTAATAATTATTATTTCCTCAAGTGACAGGTTAGAATGAAATTGTCAATATACTCAATGGTACTCATGTAGTTTAAAGTTTAATTTCATAATTACATCAGAATTGAGATTCATGAGATGAAGGATGTTAAAGGAAAAACATTTTAATTTCAAATGTCTGCGTTACCATTGTAAACAAACGCCTAATTTAAAATCCAAATTTATTAATTACGCCATAATTGAGATTTATGAATGTTAAACAATAAAACTCCCTTAAGATAAAGGATGTTAAACAACAAAAACACACTCAAATGTTACTCCTCAACCTTAAATAAACCAAAACCAAAGAATTGCCACAACTTCGGTTTGCTCTTTACGCTCCGAGATACATACCACCAATCTTTTTTTTTTTTTTTTTTTTTTTTTTGTAATTAATGGAAATGAAAGTTACATAGAGCAAAGTCTTGGTTGAGTAGCACCCAGCAGGTCCCTGTTCAACAGGGCGATACAAGGCACCGGAGGCACATGCAGAACATGTAAATTCCAGTCTGAAAGAGAACTACCTAAAGCAGCAAGTTTGTCTGCAACCATGTTGTCCTCTCTATATGAGTGGCAAAGCTTAGTGTCCCAATGCCCCTGTAATAATCTTCGGACACGACAGATCAGACACGACATGCCACCAATCTTGGTTCTCACACACCCCACCAACTTCAACTTACCAAGAAAGCATGGATATCAATTTTCAAGCAAAATCCATCTCCCCAATACCGATTCTACTCTCCATTGTTTTCCTGTTGACCTTTTTCTTAATGCCATCAGCCTCTGCCCAAAATAACACAACCTTAACGGCATATAATGTCCTTCAACTGTACAACTTTCCGATTGGAATTCTTCCCCAAGGCGTGGATGGCTATGAATTGGACAACTCCACCGGCAAATTCAAAGTGTATTTAAATGATACTTGCTCGTTTAATATTGGATCTCACGAGTTGAAGTACAAGTCCAGCATAGCGGGTGACATCATGAAGGACAAGATCTCCAACTTAGACGGAGTTCAAACAAAAGTGCTTTTCGTATGGGTAAACATTGGGTCAGTCACTCGCCGTGAGGACGAGCTCCAATTCTCAATTGGAATCGCTTCTTCCAGTTTTCCAGTTAGTACATTCAATAAGAGCCCAACTTGTCCTCTTGCATTTGACAATGTCAATGGGACTAGGAATCATGGGAACGAACAAGTCCCATAATTAGCTATCTATAATTGGAGATAATTTATGGTGAACCAGGATCACCATTTTTTAAGTAATCCCTTAGTGTAAATATGAGGGTAAAATTGGAAAAGTAGAAAAAATAACAGAGGTAAAAAGGAAAAGAAAAAATTAATGATGTGAGAAGGAGCACCAAAAGATTTAGTGGTCCTGGACCATATTAAATATTTCCCTATAATTGACATGAAAATTTTTTAATATACTCTTGTACATTGGTGGTCCTCCCATTAAGGGAGTGACACATGGATTTTTCTTCTTCTTTTTTCCCTTCTCTCTCCTCTCTCCTCTCTCCTCTCTCCTCTCTCCTCTCTCTTCAATCTCTCTCTCACTCTCTCTCCTTCACTCCACCCAATCTCTTGTGGGCCGGGAGCGCCAAATTTAATCTCATTGACATGACCTACGTAGAGCTGTAACACTAAATAAGACTCTTATGATACTAGGAATCGCGGAAATTTCGAATTACAGAAAAATATCATAAACAATTCCTTTTTTAATAGATGCATTATTTTGACATTCTTATTCATCGATTTTTTAATTACTTATTCAGTTATTTGTATGCTAAATTAGTCATATTACGTAGTCACTTATGTTCAATGTTTAATTGATCACTAATTAAAATTTTCTAGTAGATAAACAGAGGTGCTTTTTACGGTAGACGTCAAATTGATGACACAGTAGTCTAATTTAATTTTTTTTAACCTTAATGTTTTAATTTATTAATTTTTAGTCTCAAAATTTTGTAGCATTTTTGGGTAAATATCTCCAATCAATTTAATAAAATCGCAAACCCCCTAAAAATTGAGGTTTTATGAAGGAACAAAACATAAATGTGAAAAGCAGGCAAGGGTAGTGGGGCAAGAATTCAATGACGGCTTCTAGGTTTTGGAAACAAACAACAGCTTCTGATGAAGTAAAAGAGCCACCACGCAACAAAATGGCTTGGCTTATCCTGCAGTTGCCCGTTTCTGAACACATTGTGGCTGGAATTCCATGTTTGAACAATTTCCACACTTACGCATGCCTATGATGAGCAGAAAGAATGTCAACAGAGAATTCAACTATAATAGGTTAAAATGTACATAATAAGAGTTACGGGACTAATTTTGTACACAATTTCTATAATTTTGAAAGACTAGTTTTCTCATTAATAATTATATAATATAACTGTTATGAGTATTTCCTAAATTTGTAATATCATGTTGTTTATATATGATATAGTCATTGTTGATTTTATCCCGTCATTGAATCTGTTCTGTACATATACTGGAACTTGTTTTAATATTTGTTTAAGCCATATGGGCCCAAAATATGAATATGGTATTATTATTTTGGGGCCCAAATCAGTTTTGCTTTATTAATCTTTTGGCAATATTATGTTAGCAATAGTTAAAACGCTGCGTTTCTTTTTAATGGTGATATACATATCAAAGTGTAAACGACGTTAGCGTGTAAGAAAGAAAAGATCAGATTTTATGCATTATTCAGATTGTGCTCTTCTCTCTCTCGGGTTCTTTGAAATCAAGAAAAGGGTTAGGGTTTGTCGAGTGTCTGTGAGGGAGATTTGAGGGAAAAAGAGTGAGAATCTCATCTTGGCTCTTTGAAGAGAAGTGATCCTCGTGTGAAGGTGCATCAATTGATCGGAGCATTGTTAGAAGATGTTGTCAACAGTAAACGAAGGTGAAGCTTGGAGGTGTTCCTAGCTGGTGAAGTCTGATTCGTGGAGTTGTAGAGCTGAAGAACGATTCCGTTGGTGTTTGCTCTCTGATTCGGTGATACCTTTCTTTTATTCTTTCTACTGTTGATATTTTTGCATGTACCTTCTGGTCTCGAAGGTT